CCGTGAAGAGTTGCTAAACTCTGCCCGGCAGGCTGCACCCGCTTGATCCGCATCTCAACATCTCGGAGCATAGAGAGATAAGATACCAGCTTCTCGTCGTGCTCCAGACACATCTTCTTGCTGAACATGATCTGCAGAACCAAACAGCAAAGCAAAACTTGGAATTTAGGGAGAAGAAAACAAAGGATTATTATTATTCCCTTCAAAGATAGAATCCGTTAATAACATTCCACTTGATGGACTTGCCCCTTGCTGGCCTTATCTACAAAATTTACTACAGGGAAAATAAAACATGTGGCTCTTTTTCCAACATAAATGGCAAGAGATGCCTGGAGTTACAGTAAAAGTGCCAAAAAGAAAGTCCTACTTATCAGTCATTTATAAGTAATGCTCCAGCAGAAAAAAGCCACAACTAAGCCCCAAGTGTTTTCAGTCAGACACCACCGGGTCCTTTGACAAACCCATTGCAGCTGATGCTGCAGCATCGAGCTCAAACATCCACCCCTCACGTTTTGACTGTGCTGAGGACCTCGGGCAGATTTAACATCAAACTTACACAAAGAGCTCATCAGAAAATGTCAAAGTAACAAAAAGCATCAATTTACCTGGGCTGGTCTCGTGGATTCCCTCGAGGTTTCCAGCAGCTCCCCCTCCACTATCACAGGAAGGAGCAAGCTCCGGTCGCCAGGACCGGGCTGCCTGGTCCTCTCCTGGGCTGTTTCTCCTTGGGATCTTGGGGGAGCAGGGGCACCCCCTTGCCCTGTGCTGACCTCCACTGCTGGCTCTTGCTGTTTCTCTTCTCCAAGCTCAAAGACTGCAGCAGAGCTTTCCTTAACTTCCGTGGGTTCCTCTCTGATAAGTAATTCCTGGGGCAGTTCATCTGCTGCAGGGGCTGCGCTGGGCACATCACTGGTGGCTTCCACCTTGGTGTCTTCCTGGGTCATCCTCTCCTCCAGGCTCAATGCTGCTGAGGAATCCTGACCATTTCTGGTCCCACTTTCCATCACCTCTTGAGCTCCTCCTTGCCCTGGGGAGACAGGGGCCACCTGAGCCCCACCGAGGTTTTCTTTATCTTCATCAGAGATAATCCTGGTGGTGGTTTCATGTTTTGGTTCTGGTGTGCTCAAGACCAAGTCCTTCTCCTTCTTCCCTGGGATTTCTTTGGAAATCAGAGAAGGAAGGGACTGCTTTTCTACAGAAGATCTCTCTGGCTGAGTGCTGTCTCCTGCACTACTGATCTGCTTTGCTTTCTTTTTCTTTCTCTTCTGTTTCTGGGTGGGTTTTAGCTCCATTTCACTTGTTTTCTCCTGATCAACTGGACCTTCTGCACCCAGTCGCAGGGTTTCTTCTTCAATGTGTTTGACAGTTCTTTCACCTGCAAGCTCATCTCCTTCAGGCTTTGTAGGGATGCCAGTCTCAGACTCTGCAGGACTCATCTCTCCCTTCCCTCGACCCACAGTAACAGATGCCCTCGGGGCTGCTGGTGGTACCCGGTCCAGGCTGCCCTCTCGCCCTCCTTGCTCAGAAGCCTCCACCGCACCTTCTTCACCTGCTGCAGCTCCCTCTGCACTTACAAACTCTCTCCTCCTCCTCTCCTCGCCATCCTCCACACTGTGAAGCACCTCCATGTCCTGCTCTTTCTCCAAGCCAAATCCCTCCACTTTCTCTGTCCCTTGACCTACTACTTCTCTCCTCGATTCCTCCCCCCAGGCAGTTCTCACCTGGGAGGTGCTTTTCGCAATCCCCTTTTCCATAGTCCTCACCACCACCGTCTCTTCAGGGAGAGATGCTGCACCTAAACCTGAGGGGTGTTCTGGAGTCAGTTCGACCATTTCTTGGTCATGGTGCATTAAACCATCCTCTGAAGTTTCTTGAGACTTTGATTCCCCTTCTGTCGGTGTCACTGGGGGTCTCCCAGTGGCAGCAGTTGCACCAGCAGCCACGTCGTAGCTCAAAGCTTCAGATACAGGTTTGTGCTCAGCACCATCAGACTTCTTGACAGCACTGGTAGCAAGGATGACATCTTCCTCTTTTGGAGATACTTTTTCCTGGGGTTTATCTACTTCACAGACTTCAGAACCGTATTTGTCTTTGGATATTGGAGCATCCTGAAGACTGGCAGCTAATTTTTGGCTAATCAGTTCTTTTTCAACAGCTTCCTTTAAAGACAATCTTTTCCCACTGCTAGCATCAACGATTCCCCCAGCCCTCATCTGGTTGGTGGCGATGAGCTTGGCCATGCCCTCATCCAGCAGCCCCTGCTCCACAGCAGCCCTCAGGGACAGCCTCTTGCTGACAGAGCCTTCCACAACCCCACCACCGTCTGCCTGTGCCTGCAGCAGCCGCAGCGCGGGCACAGGGTCCACCTTGCCCAGCCGCACCGCCGCGGCACACGTCAGCTTCTGCCCCGTCACCTCATCCCTGATGGCTCGGAAGGGATGGACCTCCAGGTACCTCTGGCCAGATTCAATGTCGATTTTACACTTCTTGATGAATTCTGAGTAGGGAACGACCATGCAGGTCTCGGGATCCACGATTCCTTCTTTCATCTCTGGAGATGACAGGACCTTCTCCATCACTGGCTGGGGCAGCAAGCCCTCCTGCGCCGCCTGACAGAGTGACAGCCTATGGCCAGTTGCAGGGTCAAAAACGCTTCCACCCCCAGCTTGGATTTCTTGCACTTTCCTCTGGAAGTCTGGACTAATGAGCCCTAATGATACCGCCTGGGGCAAGGGCAGCTTCTCCTTTGTATCTGGATGAACATAGTCCTGATGACACACGCTTTCAGCTTTCCCAAGTTCCTCGCACAGATATTGATCAATCAAACCGTGTTTCATTGCGTCATTTACCGAAAGCCTCATCCCAGACACGTGATGGATGATTCCTCCCTCAGCAATCTGCTTGGTCAAGAGCTGAAAAGCTTTTTCCTTTTCCAGAAGCCCTTTTTCAACAGACTGTGCAACAGTCAGAGGCTGCTTGGTTTTAGGATCCACAATCCCACTGGTCTCAGCCTGTAAGCTAATGAGCTTCTGTCTGGTCATCTCATCGGTACCTTTCCCTTTGGAAGCCTTCTCCAGCTTGACCAGCTCCTTCTGGCTTGTTGGCTCTATAAGGCCCAGATTTGAAGCCAAAGTGACTGATACTTTCTTGCCACGTTTCAAGTCAACAATCCCTCCAGTAACCACTTGTCCTTCCAAGATCCTCATTGCTGTTTCCTTGTCCAGAAGGCCAACGGCAGCAGCATCCTTGACAGAGTAGACGAAGTTATTGCCTGGGTCAAGAACGCCACTTATTGCTTTGTCAGATGCAAGCACCTTGTGGAGAAGCCTCTCATCCATCAGACCCTCTTCAATGACATCCTCAGTGGTTAATGATTCACGAGTCTGAGAGTCAAAGAAGCCACTGAACATCTTCATTTTCTCCATGAGTTTCACAGCTGTGTGGCTGGGCACCACCCCGCACACGACTGCTTCATTCAGAAGAAGAGTCTTGCCTGTCTGCTCATGGATTATGCCACCACTTTGGAGCTGTGTTAAGAGCATTTCCAAAGTGTCCTCTGCTTCCTGCTCTGCAGGGGCTGGCAAGGATGTTTCATCAACACTCTCATCACCCAATGCTTCTTCCCCCTCTCCTTCTTCCACTTCCAACACGCTTTCAATGCCTTTGCCTTGCCTCTCTGTTTGCTCTGCCTCTCCAGTTTCAGGGAGCACAATCTCCTCTTCTCCCAACACACCGTTCTCAATCGTTTCCTCATGCAACATACAAATCTCTCCAACATCTTCTGCCTCTGGTCCAGGTTCCTCCACACCCTGAGATGTCTCTGCCACGATTTCCAGTCTATCCCTACGTTCTGAAACACCCACTGATATGCATATATCACTTTTCACAACAACTGCTGCAATTTCTGATGCCCTCTTCTGATCTTCAATACCTTCCACTCCATCTACTGTAGTAGACTTGGACTCTTCTTCTGTCTCAATCACCATTTCTTCTGTTTCTCTGAATCCACTACCTAGCTCACCAGGATGTCCTGGGATTGGTAATTCTACATGGTGTTCATCCTTGCTTGCAGAATCTACTTCCTCTCTTCCAAACTCAGCATCAGTTTCACTTTTGACAGTAGCCTGTTTGGTATACACCTGCTCCTGCTCCTCCACAAGCAGGACATCTTCTGCATCGTCCATCAGGAGGCTTTCAGGTCCCATCACCACCTCCCCATTCTCCAAAGCAGTTGTGGGTGGTACGACCTTATCGCTTTGTTCTTTTGAAGGAGCAAATTGAAACTCAAGCTGCTGCAAAGCCAAACCATTGCAAGGCTCGCTTTCAAGAGCTGCATTTGCCTTTGTCTCCTCAAAGCCTTCGCTGTCTTCCAACATGTATGCACAGGATCCGTTTTCTTGGGTTTGGATGAGGGCTTTAGTGAGATTGCTCAACTCTCCATCCACTAAAAGCAGCTTCTGGCCATCATGGATGTTGATGTAACTGTGGGTCATCAAGTGGAACATCAGCCGGTCATCATCACTCCTCAGCACAGGGTCACTTTGCTCTTTGTGATCTGTGGGACTCCTTCCAGCAGAGCTCTGGCTGTGCCTGCTTCTGCTTGAGGAGCCAGCAAGCTGCACGCTGGCCATGACATCAGGCATGACTGTTGATTTCAGCTTCTTCACCACATCCCTCTCCAAGATGCCATGTTCAACAGCTTTCTTCCAGGACAACACCTCAGTGGTTTCTGGTATGAATACACCCTTAATGAGTTGCCTCCTGCTGAGAATCTTGTAAACCAACTCTGTGGACAGGATTCCTTGCTCTAAAGCATCCGCAACTGGGACGATGTCCCCTGTCTCTGGCCACAGGAGCCCCATGAAGGACCACAGGGATTCCAGGACTACCAATGCAATTCTTGGTGCTACCAACTCTTTCCTTACAGCTTCGTCAATGGTCAGTCTTTCTCCCGTGATGGTGTCGATGATGCCACCTGTCTGAAGCTGCCGGATAAGAAGTGTGCATGCCAAATCCTGGTCAATTAAATTATGCCTCACGGCCTCATCCACAGTCAGTCTGTGCCCCGTCCTGGGGTCCACAATGCCACCAGCAAAGAGGTGGGCTTCCAGCAACCTGACCGTGACCTGCCTGTCTATCAGCCCCTCCTGGACCGCACGGAAGATGTTGACTTTCCTGCCTGAGCTCAAGCTCAGCATCCCACCCGCCAGCTGCTTGACTGGGAGCAGCCTCAGCCCCGTCTCTTGGTGGGTGATGCATCGGTGCACGAGCTCAAGCAGACTGACTTTCTCAGCAGTGTTGGGGTCAATCAAATCCTTGGCACCCTCCAGGTAAGACATGAGTCTGGAGTAAAGCTGCGGGGTAAGGAGCCTTTCTTGCACTGCTGTCTCCATGCTGATTCTGCCCTGATGGACTTTAAAGCCCCCAGTGATGAGCTCAGCTTCAAGAATCTTTAGCCCAACGCTCTCACTGATCTTCCCCTCTTCTACTGCAGCAACGACAGGTAGGAGCTGCCTCCCTTCACATTTGACTTCTTCCACCCGGTGTAGAGCATCCTTCAGTTCCTGCAGCACCTGGAATGTCCTGGGATCAATGATGTTTCTTGCCAGACCTTCCTCCAAGGAGAGTTTCTCATTGGTCTCTGGAACAACTAAGTCAGATGTGATAACCTGGGCCTCCAAGAGGACAAGGCCAGTGTCCTGATCTATAAGACCTCTCTGCACGGCACCAAAGACAGGGAATATTTCTACCGTGCCAAGATCAATCACTCCTGCCACTGCTTCGCTGCCCTAGAACAGAAAGAGAAGGAAAAGAATTCAATCACAATCAAGCATTTCAAGCATTTGGATTGCACAAGGGAGGTCTCAGCTTAAAAAAAGACAACCCAAAACCACCTAAACAGGCTAGAAAGCAAGTCCCAAAGTGTTTGATATGCACCTCCAAAGGCACCACAGCATACAAATGGGTGCATTTGCTAGCTTGCACGTTGCCAGCAAGTTTTAATGCTCATCTAGTCCATCACCCAGGGCAGCACTGAGATACTTCCAACATCCACCAACAGAAATGCAGCAAAGCGGCAAGCAGCAAACCCCAGAGGTGCTCCTAATGCTCCACGGAGAAACAGAGAGAAGGAGACCAACAAGCACACCAAAGCTGCTTAACACCTCCACTTTAAAAAGCAAAAACAACACAAATCCCACTGAGTTACTCAGAGGAGAAAAACCCCAAAAGATGCCCACTTCAGGGCATCTAGGAATCTCTCCCAGCATTGGCTCCTGCCACGCTTTAAATCCTGCTCTTGCCAATCAGATCCCAAGTGCCAGGATGGCCGGGGAACCCCACAGCCCCCCATGCCATCGAGCAGCTCCACAGCCTCACAGACTGGCCATGCATCAGGACAGGAGCGCTGCATGCAGAGCAGCTCACCACCACAATCACCAGCCCCTGCACCTCCACATAGCCAGGGCGAGGGCAGGACCGTGACAAGTTGGAGGCCCCAGACTGGGAACAGACCATCTACTTTGGTGTTTCTGGAGGGGCTTTTCCCATCTTTTCAGTATCCCCACAGGTAGGGCAATAATTAAGATGATAAAGAGCAGCAGCTCTTTGGACATTGGGGTTTCTCCCAGTCCCACTGGTTGGGTATAAGGTGACCCAATCTTTTTGTGAGGATTGGGAGGAAATGATCAGCATGGTGGGATGAATTCCTTTTGCATCCCAAACACCCTCTGGTATCTCTGCTTCATTGGTGGGTCTAACAGCACCAGTGGCTGGGGGTGCTTTGATCTGTGGAGACACGGTGAACCTGCCAGAGAATCCCTAAGCTCTCCACCACCATCACCAGACTGTGACATGCACGTTCAGAGATGAACAAGCCATGGAAAGACAGAGAAGAGGAGGGGAGAAGAATAGAGAAAAGAGAAGAAAGGAGATGGGAGGGAGGGGGGTAAAAGGCTTTTACTTACCCGAGTTGCAGGGTGTGCCTTGAGCAGTTAAAGACAGAGCCTTATGGAGCAGTTCAGCCGTGTCACACACAGTGTAAAGCTTGGTGTTAGCGTCCAGCATGCGACTGCTTTGTTTGCAAAAAGAACCCCCCACACAGGTCGTCCTCCTTCACCTTGTGTGTTTTGTTTGTTTAAATCCCGGAGGGTTAGTTAAACTTGTAAGCAAGGATGTCAGTTAATCTCAAAACCAGTTGACATGAAACACAAACTGTACAGGACACATCATGCTCAATTTAGCGCGTTCTGCTTTGCACTCCCGTCTTTTGTAACTTCTCTTTGACAGTTGGATGTTTCCAGCAAGCAAATGTTAAGAGTTCCTCATGCTCCCTCTACAGTGAAGCAACTGCACCGCACAGGAGCAGCAGGGATCATCCCATAGATGGGATCTATGGCAAAGCCCCACTGCCACCTCTCCTTTTGTTTCCTGGGCTTCGTGGAGAGCGTGAGTGAAAACTGTTCCAGTCTCAGCCCCAAAGTGTGCTGATGCTGTAAGAAAACAAGCCCCAGAGAAGGCTTTTTCCATCAAGTCATTTTCCTACCCAGGAGGGAGGAAAAGGGAAAGGAAAAAGCATCCTTTCCGCAGGCAGGCTGCTCCCAGCTGCTCTCTTGGCAGCAGCAGCATCAAAGCCATGATGGTTTAGCAGTGACTAGGGTCAGTTTGCTCACCACAAGCTTTCTGCTGCCAGTATGAGGGCTAAAGGGTTTGCACCAGAAAGCATTTACTGCACTGGCATGCCTGAAATGTGCTATAAAGTCCAATCTGGACAGAAACAGTATTTAGGTGGAAACTGGACAGGCAGATTTCAAAGGAGCAGCTTGAACAGGGCTTCACTCACGGACCCAACAACCAAACCCTGCATTACGTGTCCAAATCCGAGTGGGCTGTTGCTTCAGAGTACAGGGAGCCAGCAAGCAAACACACAAATACATCATTGACACATGTATACACACTCACATAGCACGTACATGTATATCTGAATGACTGGAGACAGCTCCTAACAGAGGCAGTAAGGATGTGCTTCCTGCCCTCCCTACCCAGTGGAACACAGATGTGGACTGGTGGATGGGAACGGGAAATGGGTGCAGCTATGGGTTGTGAAGGTCTCCCAGGCCAGCTGAGGACCTCGTTCAGCTGAGCAACTTCATCCAGAGACAAACCTCACTAGACAAGAGACTACAATTGTCCTTCTGCAGAAATCCACCTTCTTGCTCCCCTGCACACAGGCAGCCTGTGAGATGGAGCACTTCGTGGTTAAAGCACTGAGAGGGCATCCTGCAGAGGACACACATCTGCTAAAGGGACCCTTCTTTCCAGGACAGAGGTCCATCTACATGTTGCCCACCAAGCATGTACAAGCTGACCCTGGTGCACAGGGTCCATTGCAGAGGACAACTCTCCTATGACCTGGAAGGCAGCAGGTAAACAGCTCCTCCTGCTTGGCCTCCAGGGACCACCCCAGCTTTGGGTAATGCATGGATGGAAGAGAACAGAGGGCAACCACGTGCAAGTAAGAAAGCTGACAGGCTGTGAGTGACTGGTGGCCATGAGACACACAACCAAGCAAAACCTTTTCACACCCTGAGAAGCAGCCTGTGTCCATGTGGCCACAGGACTGAGCAGGGAGCAGTCAGTACCTTGTGCTCTGTCTCCTGAGCCAGCTGGTTCTGGAGCTGCTGGAGCTGCTCCGTGGAGTCACTGCACAGCTCCTGGTAGGTCTCCTTCAGAGCACCGAGCTGAGCAGAAATCTGCTCCTTCTCCGGATGGGAAAGCCTGCAAAGAGAAGGGGAAATCTGTCAGAGAACCTGCACAGACCAGCTCCACAGAATTACGATTCCACAGAATCCCTTTACAAGAATGCTTGGAAAGATCAAACCCACCACGAGCCCTCCCTCCCCACTGCTTGGCTCAGCTAAAACCAGCACATGTCAGTGTGCTGAGCAAAGGCTGACCCGCGTTGTAACACTCCAACTCCCAAATATACAGGGCTGGGTCACTACTAAAGGGGATTAATATTGTCACAACAGCATAAATGGGTGGCATATTTCACAGCTCTTGGTGCAGAGAAGGAAGAGACAATTGTCATGTGCAGCTCATCACTGTTTCTAATGGGACTCAGGCACTGGACCTCAGCCCACAGCCCCGGCTCTGAGGGGTCCCATCTTCCCCCAGTGCTCTCCCTCCCTGGCCCCTCCTCGCACCACACTCACTTGTGGCTGTGTTTTGCCAGGAAGATCTGTGAAGTTTTGATGGCCTCAGAGACCTGCTCCTTCTTTGCAGCCAGCTCCTCATTCAGGGCCTGTCAAAACCAGAAACAAAAGGAAGATGCTTAATTCAGCTGTGGAAGAAGAGCAGCAGTTAAAGAAACTGCCTGACAGCTGCCCCTGCTTTACCTGCTGCTCCGAGATGGACTTCTCGATGTCGCCCAGCTCCCTGCTCCCAGCAGCAGCTATCCTGCCTTGCACACTCTGCTTCAAGCCCACGGCCCAGCCCAGCAGCTCCTTCACCTTGTCCACATGTTCCTGCTTCTCCTCCTCTACTACTTTCTGCAAACAGAGGAAGGTAACCATGTCAAAGAGGTCCCAGACTCCCAAAGGCTCTCGGGAGCAGCATGTGAGGCGCAACCTCAATGTGGAGCAGCACCCTTGGGGTGCTAGGAAATGAGCCTGGACAGAGCTCAGCTCTGTACAACACTCTTACCTCCTCCTCCTCCAGGCGCCGGAGAGCATCACTGATGTACTTCACGTGCTGTGTGGTTAATGTCACCAGAGCTGTGTAGCGGGTCCGTAAATCCATAAACTGTGAAGGGAGACAGGGGGAAGTGGAGCACATCAGCCACAACCAGCAGATCCGGAGTGATGTACTTTACAGTACATGACCCACTGCACTACCTCTTGCTTGGAAAGCCCCCAGACACCTCACAGACCCAGCACAGCACCAATGAAACACAGCAAGTCTGATAAGGAGGGCTGTGGCCACACACAGCATCCTGCACAACACTGGAGTGAAGGGGAGACACCGGCCATGGACACTGGGGCGGATGCTCAACTTTTACAGAGGACTATAAGGATCCACACATTGCAGACAGGACCTTGGGGCCCTACCTAGAGGTCTCACCCTAAGGATACACACACAAGAACGCTGCATGATGCTCCAGTTATTTACCTTGCAAGGCTGAAGGGCTGAGCCGAGCCTGCTGGATTTGACCCAGGGATTCCCAGGAGCCTGGGGATGTCCTACCTGGTGCTTAAAGCATCCCCTCTGGCTATGGGGAAAAGCAGCCAGGGTGGAAACTGTGTTGATCCCAGGGAGTTGAGCAGAAAGGAGCTCATTTCAGAGGCCGCTTGGTGTCGAAGAACCCCCCTCACAATTCCTCCCCTGCTCCTACCTCCTGTGTGATGGCATCCGAGGATGAGAGCATCCGCCGGCGCTTCATGGGCGACTTCTGCTGCGACTCCACGAACGCCCGGTACGTCATGAGCTGCAGCTCGTAGTCCTGCAGACACAACCAGGGTAGAGAGACATGGAGCACGTAGATCCAAACCCTGCCAGGACCGTGCCTGCCCAGCCAGCCTCGTGTAGGTGCAGGAGGGATTGTGTACCTTGACAGCGGCCGAATATTGCTGGGAGAACTTCTGACACTGGTCCAGTTTGGCTTGATTGTTCTCGATTTCTGCAGCCAAAGCCTTCATCAAAATTAAAGCAAAACCAATTGTCAGGATGGCTGCCATGGGTGGTGAGCTGAATTCCCATCCCCAGCCCCCCCCTTCTGGGTAAAGTCTTTATACTCTTTCATTTTTATGCAAGGCCTCATCTCCACCTCAAGCTAAGCTGAGTTTCTCCGTGTCCCAGACAGCCAGTTGGGGCCTGCAGCCTCTTCCCCACCATGCTTCATCATTTCAAGCTCACAGATGAGAAGATTTCAGTAAAAGAGAAGTGACATGGTCACTGCAGCAGCTGACACACCACAAGGTCCTTCCTCACCGTCTGCTGGCTCAGCTGCTCCGACAGCACCCGGCTGTCCTCCGCCTGCCCGGGCTTCATCAGCTCCTGCTGCACTGTGATCTCCTCGATCCACTGGATCAGGGCACTGTGGCACTGCCGGTAGTCACTCAGCACCTCCTGGATGCTCTCCAGCTCTGCGTGGCTGAAAGAACCAAGGCAAATAAGAGGAGGGTGAAATGCCACCGGTGCGAATCCCATCTGGAAAAACACAGCTGCAAGCAAGTGTGACCCAAGCTCTCAGCTGAAGCACAGAAGTGGATCTAGAGACTCACCGGGTCTCAATCTGGGCGCAGACGCGCTGCCAGCGGTCCCAGAGCTGGGTCCCCTTCTCCTGGTAGCGCTCAAGGTCGATGCTGCGCTCCTGCCGCAGCCGGTAGAGCTGCTCCCCCACCACCTTCGCCTTTGCCAGCTCCTCCTCCAGCATGGAGAAGACGGAGCCCTTGTCCTTCACCTCCCCGAGCCATTGCTGCAAAACCAGCGAGAGGCAGCACCGGGTCAACGTCACGGAAAGCAAAAGGCACATTAAGTCAGAGATGCCCTCCTGGACGGGGCTGATATGCCTGAGAAGGGGGTTATCTTCCCTCTCTCCTTAACCTGCCAAGAACTGGCTGGTTATAGGAGGTATAAAACAGAGGGAACCATGTTCCCAGCTTGGAGCAAGACAGATTTGTTCAGCCCCTTTCCTACAGCAACAGGAAACCTAGCTGCTGAGATGCTCAGATACGCTCTACAAGAGAGAGCACAAGCTATATCTGCTCCTTCGCCTTTCCAAAGCAATAAGGGGTCATACAAACAGCACAAAATCCTCCTGGCAGCTACATTGAGGCAAGAAAAGTGTCACAGAGTACAGACTGAGCAGGAAAAGGGCAGAAGCTTGACAAACGTCAAAGCACTGGCTGGTCTCTGCCTGCCCACCCCGGGAGATGACCAGCACCAACCTGTAATGCTGCTCTGTGGGACTGGATAGTGGCCAGGTCAGCGGGCACTGCCTCCTCTTGGCTCAGTTTAACCTCATACCCTTTGACCAGAGATTCTGCTCCTTGGGTGTTACGAATAATAACATCAACCGTCTTCAACCTGCAAATCAAACAGAGGCAGCACAATGACATCCAAAATTCAGCAGAGATCCTCCTGGATCCATTTGCAACATATGCCAAAGAGGGATGGAGCTCAGTTACGGTCCAGCGCAAGGCGTGTTATTGCCCCAGGGGAAACATCTTTAGCAGAATTGGGCAGATTCAAGCAGGTATTTGGGAACAGAGGCATGTCCTGACTCACTTTTGCAGGTAGGTGGAAGACAGCCCATGCATCTGGTCCATCTTGTTCACCACCAAGTCGAGTTCAGAACGCAGGTGGGGTGTGCTGGACCCCGCGGGTGCCTTGTTGAGGAAGCTGTAGCATCTCTCAGAAACAAACCTCAGGTCCGACTGCAGCCGCTGCAGATCCTCCTGCATCCGCTATGGCAGGAAGGGGAAAAACATGAAAGGAATGCCCAAGCAGGTGGAGAAAAAAAGCAGGATTGCCCTGGGCAAAGGGGGTGGTGTGAAGTGAAGCAACTGGAGAAGTTTCCTGCTATTTTCCGTGCAGCAGGATCCCCTCGAACCCTGCACAGTCACACACCCACCACCCTCACATCCCCACACAGAAGCTAAAGCTGGTTTTGGCACATGCTGAAGACCAGTGGCCACCACCTCCCTGCCCTCCCCATCCCAGGACTGACCTCCTGCTCCGCAATGCGGATGGTGTTTTCCTGGATAGTGTCAGCATCTGCTCGGGCGCTGCTGGGGGCCTGGATGCGGCTCACCAGCCTCTGCTCACATTCCTCCAGGCGCAGGCGGATGTTCTTCAGCTCAGAGAGGTAAGTCCTGGCAACAGTCTCGTCCTTGTCTTCTGCAAGTCACAGACAAAGCAAATTAGCAGCTCCATCAACCCTGGCTAGTGCCTGCCTCAAATGGGACCTGCCGGGAGCCCTGGAGCTGAGTGCCCATCACACTGACACCAAGGCACTGGATGTCTGCTCAGATGGAAAATGAGTTCATCAAATCATCTCATTCAAATGCAGCTGAGAACAAGCCCAGCCACAGGGCACCTCGCAGGAGAAAACTGGAGTCCCTGGTCTTAGTGGGATTCACAGTGTCGCAGCGTCACACGTGCCACCACCACATCTGTTTTCCTGAAGAAAAGAGCCCCTTGCTCAGAATGCAGCCTCATAACTAAACCTATCTCCAATAACACCAGGGCAAGAGGACTCAGCACTTAAGCTGAAGCTGCAAAGTCAAGTCCTCTTCTACAAGAACATCGCTGGGCAAAGGCCCAGCACTTGAATGGATGGAGAAACAAGGAAAGCAGCTGCTCACACCATCAACTAGCTAGCTCAGAAAGAAAACAAAGCCATCCCATAAATCCTTTGCTTATGAGTCTCCACAGCTCCTGGTTAATCCATCAGCCCTTTGAAGCTCACCGTTCTCCATGGACTCCAGCAGCTGCCGGATGTGTTCCTTGGAAGACTCCACTTCCTCCTCCAGGCGCAGCCGGTCCGACACGGAGAAGAGCTCCGAGTCCCGGCTGTCCTGCAGGAAGTCCTCGTAGTGCGCCTGGAGGCTCTTCATGGCTTGCTGGCACTCCCCTTGCGCCAAGGACCGGAGCTGCAAGTGGAAAAGCAGCACATGGAACCCCCGGGAATGACTTCCCATGCAGCACCTGAGGCCACCCTGCCCAGCTCAATCACCTGCATTTGCCAAGTGAGGAGTTCTGTGTGGAGGAGAAGCCGAGATCCCCTGTACCAGCCCCGTGCCTCCCTCCAGCCTTGCTCACTCCTAATGGAACGCTCAGTCCACAATCTCTTATCCCTATCACAGTTCAGCAGCAAACTGCTGATGCTCTTTTCATTGGGAAAAACTACAACTATTTTCCACAGAAGCCCCAGGCTCAGGTTTTCCCACTGTTCAAAGACCTTTGACTTTGCCAGCCTCACAGTCTCTGGTGCTCCCTTCTCCTCAGCCTCATGAAGAGGCCTGGACAGTGAGCAACACAGATCCAGGCAGAGAAGCTCCTACTGTACCTTTTCCATGCTGAAGCTTTGCACCAGGGCGATGTCCTTCCGCAGGTAGTTCCAGGAGATGAGGCTCTTTGTATTCATGTGGAGCTGGTGCCAGAGAGTCATCACTTTCTGGTACAACTGTTCTATCCTGCCAGGGGAAGGAGCAGATCCATCAGTGCTGGATCTCTACAGCACGCTCAGCCCTGACCCTGTTAATCCACCACCATCACTGCCAGCCAGCAGCCCAACGAGCCAACAAGCCCTGTTCTTGCTGTCCAGTGCCAGAGATCCCTGGAGGGATCCCTCCTCCCAGATCTTCATTTTCTCTAAGCTACTACTACTATAAGATATAGTTATCAGTTGCTGCAATGGAGTTCGCAGCTGTATAACCATGAGGGATTCCTTCCTTTGCCCCAAACCAGCCACGCCACCCATTCCTGTTCCTCCAACCCAGCTCCTCTCCCATTCCCACCCCAGCTCTGCCCTCTCCCCATCTCCCTGCCATTGCACATCAGCCTCCCCTGCAGTAGGAACCAACCAGCAAGTTACCTGTTGGCCATTTCAATGGCCTCTTTGTTGGGTGGGGGGATCAGGAAGCACACAGAAGGCACCATGGCCTCGTTCCCCGTGGGGCTGATCACCTTCCACTTGGTCCTCTGGGAATTGTCCTCCAGCACACACTCATCATTCCTGCAGATGGTGATCTGCAGGGACACCAACACCATCAGAACCCAGCAGTGGGGCTGCACACGCCTGCCCTTGCTGCCAGCTTCCATAAATACATATATATATCTCTATATCATTTTAATCAAGCAAAAGCCTGGTGTAGTGCCAAGAGTGCAGCACGCTCATGTCTGGAGGGGAAGGGATAGGAAGTTAAATGGAGTTGGCTGCCACCACGTGCTTATTTGGCTGAGGCTGATGAAGCCCATCCTTGGGGAAAAAAGACTTTAGCTGCTGCCCAGAATAAATCCGAGACATGGAAATCTGCTCCAGGAAAAACAGCTCGATTCCTGCTTCCATTGACAGACACCAAGGAGCTCATCCTGAACTATGCTGGGCATTGCTCCCCTGCCTTGTCCCTGCCTTCCCTTTCACTACCACCTTCCAGGCCTCACCTCGATCTGCCGATAGTCACAAACAGCCTTGATGGGGATGGTGCTCCTCACAAGGTGCTCCGGGTTCCTGGGCCGGAGCTGCACGATGGTTATTCCTGCTTCCATTGACAGACACCAAGGAGCTCATCCTGAACTATGCTGGGCATTGCTCCCCTGCCTTGTCCCTGCCTTCCCTTTCACTACCACCTTCCAGGCCTCACCTCGATCTGCCGATAGTCACAAACAGCCTTGATGGGGATGGTGCTCCTCACAAGGTGCTCCGGGTTCCTGGGCCGGAGCTGCACGATGGTTTTGGACCGTCCCACCAGGCTGGCGACAGAGCTCTTCGACTGGATGAGCTGCTCCTTCTCGTCCTGGCAGAAAGAAGGGTGACAGGGGGGTTGCTTGAGGCAGGGGGGAGAAGGTGTCTCCCAGGTATCTCAGCACCTCCCACCCCAATGCTGGCCTGTAGGAGCTACACTGGGATCTCAGGGGCTGAACAAACACATCAGCAGGATCCTGCTGCCCTAACGGGGTAGGAAAAGGGGTCAGGAGATGGGATGCGAGAACAGACTTCACATCAGGGTGGGTCCCCTCATCTACTGCTCCCCCTGCCCTGCAAAGCCGCATGCACGCCTCTGGCTCTTTTGCTGCTAGGACAAGAACATGTTTTCTTTCTCAAGGGAAAAAAAGAGAACACAGCAGACACCAAAATTAATGTCCCAGGAGGTGTAAGGGGCTGTCCTTACAGGACAAGCTCCAGCCCAAAGCCGGGACATTCATTGTCTGGAGGAGAAACCACAGAAGCATGCTCCCTTTTCTAAAGCAAAGGATGAAGCATGTTTAAACCAATGGCTGGAATGGGAATACGACAAATTATGTGGATAAAACATCTGGGGAGAAGGGGCTAGTGGTGGAGTGATCGCAGAGGCCTCTGGCTGTGGGTAGAAACTTCCCAACTGGAGGAAGATGCTGCGTATTGATTCCCACAAGTCCCTGCTGGGTTCGGTGGTGGGACAACCCAGGAGACTGGTGGCAAAGTCCCTGAACAGCCTCTGGCACCAACAGAGACCTGTGCAGATCACTACACTGGCAGCTTGTGTGATTAGTGGCAGCTCAGCCTGTTCTGGCTGCAGAGGTTTAAAAAGGACCCCAGGAAAACGTTCTCCTTCATGCTTGGTATTCCCGGGGCTGGTTAGTTGCTCACAACAGTGAAGGATAACTTAATGGCAAAAAAAAAAAAAGGAAAAAGAAAAGAATAAATGATTAAATAAACTACCTGTGCCTGTCCCAGGGAGCATGATTGGAAGAAATACAACTTTAACTTATCAGGTAAGAAAGAGTAATAGAGCTGAGCCCCGGGCAGCTGCCCCAGCCCTGCAGTCGTGGCCACGCTCCGGCTGGCCGGATGAGCCTCTCCCACCCCAGCCTGTGCCCACAGGACTCCTGGAATTGCAGAGCTCACCAATAGGGACACCAGGAGCTCCATGTCCTGGTAGTGCCAGAGAATAGACCACGAGAACCCCAAGACCATGACAGAGAGGCTGGGAGCCCCCAGGAGAGAAGACGGTGAGCCCTAGCCCAGCTGATGTACCCATCATGAACACCCTCTAAGGGCATCCCCATTCCCTGGGGACACGTTGGAGGTCAGCATTGTGCACCAAGAGCAAAGCCAAAGCAGCACCTGCCTCCACACCCTCAAATGGCACCTCCTAACCCACAGCCCAAATCCTCCCCTGTCCCTGGTTTCAAACACCATCTGATGCTTTGCTCCTTGGGTTTTGGTTTTAGGTTGTGATTCTTTCAGGCCAATTTGGACAAGAAGATCACAGCATGATCGTGGTCATCTGCTCTCTCTGCTACGCTGCAGCTAAGCCAGGGCACGTGTCTGGAGCTCAGCACTGCTCCCATCCCCACACACAGCTGGGCTGCCCTGGCTCTGCCCCCAACAGCACAGCACCATGGATTAACATGGGATTTAGTCTGGATGAAGAGCAAGCATTTCTCCTAGTGAGCACCAGCTCAAAGGCAGAAACTGGAGCATCCTACAGGCTCTGGGCCTCTCTTGGTAGAACCCAACTGGCTCCATGCAGATCAGGATGGCAGGATGGACACCAATGGGAAAAAACAGCTCACACGTTAAGCTCAGAGCTTGCACAGGCAGCACATGCTGCCTGCTCTTCACCCTGAAGGTACAGAGACTAAAGTGATTCATTGGCTGTTGTAACTGAGCTCCAGCTACCATCAGCAGCATTACATCCACGCAGGGAGCACAACCTGCACTCCATGGCCATGTACAAACATGTGCAGCAGCTTCAATGAGAACCAAAACACTGACCAAGATGGGGAAACAAACATGAAACTGCATCACTGCGGGAATAAAAGAGCCCAGTTTTCCCTGGGAAGCAAGAGGTGCCCCAAGCAACACTGCTGGACCAGAGCAAGAAGGCCACCCACTGCCTGCCCAGGGCGGTGGGGGTGTTGGAGAACCCACCATGGAGTCTTGCAGCAGGTCCTCCAGCCGCGTCAGGCTCGTGTTATGGTCGCAGGAATACTTCCTTTTGATGGAGTCCTGCAGGTTCCGCAGGTAGGTCTCCAGCTCCCGGGCATCGCTGAAGAACTGCAAAGGCAAAGAGGGTCACAGAAACCTGCCCAACAGAATACCCACAGAAACCCCCCCAGCACCGCAACCAGAAGCTCCCAATGCTATTCCAGCCTTAAGGCTACAAGGGCAGCGAGCATCCAACATGAATGGCCAGAATTACATGGAAATCAATCCCTTTTGCCCTAGCAAGACATTCCCAGAGAACAGCTAAGGGGAATGAGATGATTCAGGAGAAAGCAGCCCCCATGAGCACCACAAATCCTTCCTCCCCTCACCCCCAGAGGGAGCAGCAGCATACGAATTTCATGCAGCAGATGGGGACTGGGGGAATTTGGGCTGTTCCTCCCAAGTACCTGGAAATAGGCAGCATTCTCCTTCACGTGCTGCTCCACGCACAAGCAGAGCTGCTTAATCCACTGCCACTGAGTCTGCACAGCAGCGCTGTAGGCCTGGGAACCACAGACCAAACAGAGATGAGTAACCAGCATCTTCCAGCCAGGAGGGTCACAGGAATGATATGGCTACAGGCAAGATCTGGCTGCAACTGGGAGGGTTATGCTCTGTACAAGCATATCTGTGTCTTAATTTGAGGTGGGGATTATTTGGGTATGGTCTTGAGCTTCTCAAGGCCAGGTTGCACAGGGCAACCCATCTGCTGGAAGGTGTCTCTGCCCATGTCACAGGGTTGAAACTGGATGAGCTTTAAGGTCCCTTCTAACCCAAACCATTCCATGATTTGCTGCCCACTTACCTCTACAGTTTGCTTGGCCGGGTGGTTCTCCAGGGACAGCAGCTCTGCTGTGTCTTGGAGGGAGCGGAAGATGTCCTGCTTCTCATCCAGCTCTGCCATCAGCTCCTGCATGAAGGACATAAGCAAAGTCCAAACCTCAGCTGTGGGGAGCTGCATCGCTCAGACTGTGTCCAGCTAACACAGCACAGAGCACTGCAGTAAATACCAGCAGCACCCCAACCACAGTCCCCCTCAGGATGCCTCCTGGGCACCAAACACGTGGAGCAGATGTAACACAGGTACTGGAAACCTGCCCAGGAACCTCTTCAGTCCCAGACAGTGCAATTGTGGAGACAGCAATTTATTTATACTGCTTTAAAGAGGAATCAATTTTCCTTTTCTTCCTACCCACTAGTTAAAGATGCCTTTAATTCCAAATGGTGCCAAAAAAAAAACATCTTTTGATGCCTTTTCCATTGAAACTCAATTGAACAAATACTTTCATCAGCTGCACTCATGAGCTACAAGCTCGATGACTTTAGAGAGAACATCCAACCTCTGGGGACTTCAGGTCTGTTGGTAGCTGAAGGACCCAGAGCAGGTCAAAAGCAGCAGCAGCACACCCAAGAGAACACCCATCCCACCAGCCCTGCTCACCGAGAAGTAGTTTTTCTTGGCTGCAATGTTAGGGTTGTTGTCACTCCAGTCGTAGGCCAGTTCCTCCTCCTCCTTTTCATTGAGCCAGATGAGCTCAGCAGTGGCCCGGGACACAAACCCATGCAGGCTCTGGAGGTGCCTCAGCCGGAAGCTCGAGGTTTCCTGCACACAATGAAGGGTGATTCCTCTTCCCTGCTCTGCAGGTGGCTGGTTTCTTTCCCCCTCCCCAGCCTTGGAGCAGGGATGCTCAGGAGCAAGGCAGCAGGGATGGACCCTGTGCTCCCTGGGCAGTGCCAGAGCCCACTTGAAGCCCACTCACCATCAGCTTGCAGTACTGTGTCTCCAGCTTGCCAAGCGTTTCCGTGTAGCTGGCACGGAAGTTCTGAGACATTTTACCCTGAAGGATGACAAATGCTCCTGTTACCCAAAACAGGACAGCATCACTTGAAACCCCACTTCCAAATCTCCCTCCCCAGCTCTCTGTGAGCAAGAGGAGGTGGAGACGACGGCTCAGGGCGGCAGTTCAGAAGCTCCATCCTTAAACAATACTTTTACCCTCAAGAACCGATCCCGATGCCCTCACCTTCCCACATGAGTTGTGCCATGCACTGTGTCACCCAGCCCGTGCCACTGTACCTCGTACATCCTGGCCTCCTTTACGCTGGAGCCCAGGTCCTCCACACTGGAATGGATGTGCCGCTGGGTCTCCAGCTGAGTTTCCACGCTTGGCAGGTCAGTTCCCCACTCTGCCCGCTCCAGTCTCATCTGAAACAGGCCAAGGGGTTCAAGTCAGCTCTCCTCATCTGCAGGAGCGTCTCTCATAGGGCAAGAAAACCTTCCAGGTCACTCAAGACAGAACAAACACCACGCCAGAAGCTCCTAAGCCAGTGGTCCAACACTGAATGATTGCTGAGGCAGCCTACACAAACTTCACATCCACTTAAGACCAAGAGGACTGCCTGCATCAGCACAGATTTGCTTCCAGCTTTGAAAGAATCTTCTGATACCCACTGATCAGCAAGGCCACAAGAGAGAGAACCCAACGCAAGACAAATGTGTTGGTGCTCCCCAGAAACTTTGAACCACCAAAGCAGTTTTTCATAGATAAAGCAGGAAAAAGCCCAGAGCAGGTTCCTACCTTCCTCCATCAGTGTGAATGGGTGAAGTGCCCCAGAGAGGCAGCACTCACCTGCATTTCCTCCACCCAGGCCAGCAGCTCATACACGAAACGGAGGCTGCCTTCATCTTCGGAAGAGGAGATGGCCACCAGCTCTGTCCTGGTCATGGGCTTCCGGAACCAGGAGGCAGAGGAGGTGTGAAGCCCTTTCGTCAGGGACTCGCCCTTCAAGTGCATTGTGCTCAGCGTGGAAGTGGGCACCAGCTCCAGGGTGGAGAAGTGACCTTTCCTGTACAGGTTAGTGCATTCCAGCCTCAGTGTCACCAGCTCATCTTGCAGCCGCATGATCCTGAAGAAGCAAGGCCTTGGTTAGGAGATGCACACACACCCCTTCCCCACAGCGGAGCAGAAGAGCCCCATGCGTCAATCTCTGACCACATTTCTCCATCCACAGACCATTCCAGCATGGCCCATCTCACCTGAACACCAGCTCCTCCAGCTGGTAGTAATTCTCATCCCGAAGGATCTGCACATCCGCCTGGAGCTGGCGGATGAGCCCCTCACATTCCTGCAGGTACATGACCACGTCGTGCTCGTACTGCACCGGCTGCCCTGACTCCAGGTGAGCAGCATCCTGCATGGAGAGAGGAGACTGAGGACACAGGGGCACAGGGACAGGACAGCAGCCCAGCATCAACTTTAAGCCCCAAAGACCTTTTGGTCCACAAGCTTGACTTGAGCAGAAGAACATGAGTTCATCATTCACACCACCCCCAGGACGTCCCCTTTAGAAAAGCTCCTGCAGATAAACTGAAAGCTTCTAATGATAGATGGGCTCCTGTGGTTAGTCCCATGGACAGTCACTTGAATCATCTCATTTCTTGCTTGGGCTTAACTATTTTTAGCTTCCAACCCTCACACCTCTTTCTCCCAGAACAAAACACCCTCTCCAGACATCTACTCCCTACCCAGGTAGCTGCTGTCTGCACCTGAGTCCTTTCTGCCAAAGGACTTTCTGTCCTTTTTAGACAAATAAAACAGATTTGGGGATTTTAGGCCTGATAACAAGCTGTCCCCGAGATCCTTGTGTGATCACTGGATATCCACCACCACCCCTCAGTGTCAGAAGAGAAAGGAAAGGTGTCCTGGAGAACCAACCACCCCATGCACGAGAGAGTGGAAGAGGCAGGAAAATCAGGAAGGGAGAAAATCCCCCCCTCACTCACAGCCTGCAGTGTGTTCTTTGCCAGAGTGAGTTTCTCCTCACAGCTCAAAGCACCATTCTGGATTTTGTTAGCAATTTGTAGCAGCAATTCCAGCCTGTGATGACAGAGGAGGGGAGAATGAGACAGGGGCTTTGGGCCATCCCCTCAGCCAGGGGAGCAGGGGACATGCCCACACCGACCTCTCCACCGCTGGCCGCAGCAGCTTCTCGCGCTCCAGCATCTCGATGATAAGCTTGCCCCACTCCTCCTCCACGTCGTTGGGGTGGTAGCCCTGGGGCAACTTAATACGTCCAAATTCGATCCACACCTGGGGAAAACATCAAAAGAATGGCATCTCCTTCCCTCCTCCTCGAGCTGGCTACAGACTACCGCGAGGAAAGCAGGGCTATAAGGCAACAGCCTCCCTCCTGTAGAGTGCTGCTTGCTACATCATTTACCCTGAAGGTTATTTCTACTCCTCCCTTCCAAAATAAACCTGCACTGAGCACACTTTAGTCTTGCTCAAAGCACAACACTCCCACCCACAAGCCTCTGGGTAGCCATGATGCTGCTTACCTCTAACAGTTTGTAGAGCTCCTCTATCCTTCCTTTTTCCTGCTCTTTCGCTGGGATTTCAGTTTCTTTGAAGTGTATATACTGGTTATAAAGTGCCTGGGATGAGAAAAGCTCATCAGAAACCACTGTGGGGAATGAAACCACCCAGCTCTAGATGCTGAGCACATGGGACACTGTAGATTGACCTCGCCCAGGACCTACCTTTAGCTCTACAGGGTTCTGGGGGAAGGATTTATCCGACATGAGTATCGTGTGCTGCTTGATCCAGGAGACAAGGGACTCCACGCGGGTCTGGTACTCCAGCCACCTCGAGTCCACCTCCTGTGGGGTGAGAGGGCCCTTGCAGAGCACTGCCATGGGGAAAGGCAGAGCATGGAGGGAACGGAGGTGCCATGGTCACAGCTAAGGGATGGATCATTTGCTTGTGCCTCCCTCTTGTGATGCCACCCCAGGTATAGGGAAGGAGAAGGAGGAAGATCCTCCTCACAAGCTGCCCCCTGGAAGCCAGTTCCGCTTTCCCGTAAGCTCAAACCCATGGCAGAACCTGTGGAACACCATGGCTCTACAGGCACAACAGCAGCTCACAGGAAGATGTGCTAATGGGGAAGCTCTTTCCTCCCGGAGTCTCTTCCACCCACCAACCATCTGCTAACAGTGGACAGGGAACCTCCAAACCCTTCCCACAACAACCAGCTGCCTCCCAGATCACTGCCCGAGCATCCCAACTCACGATAGCACTGATCCCTTCTCCTCCCTCAGGGACTTTGGGAAAGGCATCGTAGATTGAAGACACATAAGTTATCACGGATTTCTCATCCGGAGAGGGGACGTCCACGTCTGACAAGGGGGAAGGAGAAAGGCAGTGAGGAACGGGAGTGGGCAGAGGTCGGCATCACCCCACGTCACCGCATCACCCTGGGCACCCACCTTCAGCATCCAGCAGCCGGGTGACCCCCAGCCGCTCCGCAATCTCGAAGGCCTGCTCCAGGTTCTCCCGGTTACTCTGGATCTGCACCCTCTCCATGTCCACCAGATCTGGCCTGCGAGACACACACTACAGTCACAATGTTGGCAAACAGCACAAAGGTGCCCAGGATGGAGCATCCTGGATGGGCCCCACTGCCCAGGCAGCTCCCAAGGGCTTGTCTGAGCTCCTGTCCTGGGCTGGTGTCTCTCTCCAAGGTGACCTGGGCAGCACCTCCCCAGCTTGTTCCCTTTGGAAAGGGGATGTTCAGGCTGTGAAGGAAAAATTCCTGTGCTCCTCTGGGACCTGCCCCTTTCTGCACCCACTCTGTACCCAGTGCGGTGGTCTGGGACTGGACAGAGGTGCATGAACAGCCCCAAAGCGGGTGGTTAAACCTCTCCAGAGGACATGGGCAGAGTGGAGGGGATGCAGCAGGCAGAGGTGCTGCCAGCCCTGCACCAGGAACAGAACTACCAGCAAACCACAGCACAATTAAACCTCAGATGAGCACACAGGAGCCAGGAAAATCCCAGCCTCTGAGTGCCACGAGTGTGCTGCCCATCATGCACCCATCTCCTGCGTGCTCCTGCCTGCAGAATCCTGCTGTGTCCCTCCCTGCTCCTCCCGGCCACAAGCAAGCCCAGAGCAGCACAGGGCAGTGCTATTTCCAGCATCCAGGAGATGCTTCCTCTCAGGGCTTTGCTATTCTCCTGCAGGCTCCAAGGCCATGCCAAGTACCCTTGACAAAGCAGCCAGGGCAGAGGCCGGCTCTGCTGGCCCCAGCGCTGCCGCCCTGCCCATGCAGAAGGTGCACTGTCTCTAAAGGAACTGTGAGAGGTTTATTTGCAGCTTGGGAGAGCACCAAGATCCTGGGATGACAGTGTGGATGGAAGTGCTGCTGTTCATGGAGAGCAGAAAGGGCAGCACTGACATGTCAAACACTGCAGCACTCCCAGTTTAAAAGCTTTTCTCTTCTTGCCTCTCTCCCCAACCTCACTCAAGATGCTTTTTTTTGCAGCCTCATGTACTCGTGGCTCTTTCCCAGCATCCACCCACCAGCTACTTGGACGAAGAGATGATTTCCAGGTAAAAGAGACAAAAGCCTCACCTACATCTCTATGCACTCCAGACCATCACTGACTGCAGCGGTGGGCAGGGACCGCTGGGTGGTCCTCAGCCCTTCCTCCCACCCAGATGATGCTCTCCGCTGCTCCTGCCTACCTGTATCTGTGGATGAGCGCGTTGAACATCTTCCCATCGCTCCAGCAGGATGAGAAGTTGGTGCATTTCACCCCGATGTAACCCGCCGTCACCTTCTGTGTCCACAGAAGCAGCTTCTCCTTGGCTGACATATCCCCTGACTCGCCACTGATGTAGATGTCGGAGATCTGCAAGGAAGCAGCAGCCACGGGGTGATGCAGGAGAGGGAAAAGGCCCCACCAGCACTGCTGGTTCCTATGAACTTGCCTGAGACCTGGCAGCTTGTGCACCCACTCCACTGCCAGCTCCTGCCCAGCTCCCAGCGCGAGGAGCCCCAGCACCCTCGGATACCCGGGGCTCACCAGGAATAGTCACAGCCCCATCCAGCAGCACCCAAGGAAGGACCAACCAACACCATCTCACATCAGGGCTGCCAACATGATGGAGGATGCTCCACTCAGAGCATCATGTTGCAAAGAAATACCAACTTAAGAAGCAGGAAACAGTGCTTGGAGGCACTGTGTGAGACGACAGAGGTCTCTCCTTGACCTCCAGCTTGGAGCTGCTTGCAGCAGGGTCACCAGCTCCATCCCAGGGGGAAAGGGAAGGATGTGGAGGAGACTGTCGCATCCCCACTCTGCCTTGTGGTGCTTGGAGAGGCAGTACCGCGGTGCTGGTGACAGGGGTGCTGGTGACAGGGGTGCTGCGACCACTTCCCTAACAAGAGACCAATGCTCACAGACCTCTCTCTTAGCCAGACACCCTGGACTGCCTGCAGATCCCAGACTTGCACGTGACAGAACGCACGTGTCTCCACATTCCAGCATATTTCTGACTGGCACAGCTTCCTCCTCACCCAGTCCCCCCCCCAGCTCCCCAATTAGTACAATTACTCCCCTTAATGAAGGGGCAGACAAAGGGGAGGGCGGGAACCGCTCGGATTTTCCAGGGTGCCTGTGGAAAAGCAACGCTCAGTGGATTCCTCCTGCCGGCACTGCAGGGAGAAGGTGCGCCAGGACCCAGCCCTACTGAGCCCCCTGAGCAGCTTCATCCCTCCCCCAAAATACACCCGGGCGGGCGCTGGTACTGCTCAGGTCCTGGCTGCCGGAGATCCCTGTGCAGGCAGGTCCTGCAGGATCAGGAAGGCTGGAGGATGTGTAATTGGTATGCTGCAGCTCACCTCCCTCTCCTGAGCCTGATCCGCTCATCACACACAAAACTGCTCTTTGTCAGCCGCTGCCACACCACCGGCGCTGCCTTTAACTCCTCCAGCCCCGCGGCTGCGCTTCCTTAGGGATGCCGGGACCCGGCAGCACAGCCAGGATGGATACAGCATAGGTGAGCAGCAGAATGGGACCCTCCATGTGTGCAGGCAGCAGGGATGGACCCACAAACCTTCACCTGCTCAGCACTCCCTTATTGATTACCCATTGACTCCTAATGAAGAGCAGAATGAAACCTCCTGTGAACCACCCATCAGCTCTGCCCCACCTGAGCTCCCCAGTGCCCCTCAGGACATTCCCTGCAGCACCCAGCTCGGATAAATCCTCTGTTTTCAATCATTCCCACAGCACTGGGGTTCTCCAACTGCTGAGCCCTTCCCTGAGGGCATCCTTGCAGGAAACCCTCCTAGAGACACGCGTACGGAGGTGCAGGATGCGGCACCAGCTCCACCCTCCTTTCTTCACATGTCTGTGTCAGGACAAAGATTTAGGGAGGTACCAGCAAGAAGAGAGAGCAAAAACTCACAGGACCTGAGCTCAGCCTCTTCCAAACCCTTCCAACATCAGCCTCGTACATCAAGCAACTGGTGGCAGGATGCTGAAGGCCAGATGGTGACACCAGCCCCAATCCAGCAAAGGTATCAGGGCCATAGCCCCTTTCCTGCCCTTCCAACCACACGCTTCTCCTGGGGTGTACAGAGCATGGCCAAATCCAAGAGCACCTTCAGCCCACCCTGCCACCCCTAAACAGAGACCTCCAAACAGCAACAACGGGCTCTAACACAGCATCATCCCCTCCTCTTCCTCTTAAGATCAGGCAGAGCCCCTGCACCTCCACGTTCACCCACTGCTGCCTGCCTGGTAGCTTAGTGCAGGCAGCAGGATGGGAATACCCCAAACACACACTTGACCCAGCAGCCCTGAGGGCACATGTGCCACTGGTGACACCAACACAGCACCAAGAGCCTCCGTGACCACCAGCAGCACGCACTGGCACCAGTGAGCACAGTTCTCTGACCACCCATGCTGGGAACACAGGATGGGTTGATCCCTGAAAAATGCTTCCCAATGGAGATGCTCGGAAGGGAAAAGGCTTTGGGAGCTTTCTGCACCACCCATGGTCAGCATGAGGTTGCACTTTGCCAAGACGACTGTCCCCAGGAGCCACCAGGATCTGGGCTCCGCTGAACCAGGTCCCCCCACCCCGGTCCAAAAGAGGGGTGAGGGTACACGCAGACACTGACCATTCCTCCGGCAGTCCCCGAGCTCCCCCTCCAAGCCTGGCCCCCTCC